CCCCCCCCCCGCTGCATATGGATATAAGTTCGAGAAGGTACACAAAGAAAATACATATTTCTCCGAGTTCCTAATAAAGCGTCCAAACATATTTAATAGCGACCGAGCAAGAATCGTTACAGTTGGCTCGAAAGGTGTCATGAGAGATTCGGAGAATCCGTGAGCGCTCGAAAGTCGAAAAAATTTGGTAATTTTGATAATTTACAAAAATCACACGCTAAACCGCCATCACTCGTGTCCTACGTTAAATATAAAGGATATACCGTGCCGCCATCTTTTTTTTCATTTCCCACTCTTCTTCCCTAATCATATAATAATCGAATCGTTTCACGAACAATGCATGACAAACGACTGCGTAATAGTTGAAAAGGAACAAGAAAGAACCGTCGCTCCCCGCAAGCAGAACGACTGTCGTTAATCATCGTTAATCACCGTTCCGAAAACGTTCGGTTCGCTCCGTCGGTAAGTAGTTGCCTCGTTATCGCGCAGCGTCATAATCGTAACTCCCTAATGATTTGGCCGCGTAAAGTTTGACAATTCCATTGCTCTACGAGCGTCTTATTATTAAAAGGAAAAGCGTCTTATTATTCGTCTACCTATGTACAAATTCCGTTGGATTTACCTTTCGTCTAGCGTCACGCCGCGAGTTACCGACAATAGACGTGTACAGAGCAACGATCTAACGACGCTTTCGTAACGGCTTGAAAAGCGCCCTAGACGCTTAAAGAGCGATTATAATACTTTGGGATTAAACGGAGGTCGTGATTCGTGAAGATCGTGAAAGGCATATCACATATATATATATATATATATATACACTCTGTGACGTACAACGGCATAAATCATAAGAGCGATTAGCCTAGACGTGACTATAACGAATATAAAAACAAATAAAAATTAATATATTTAACGAACGTAAAACGTGAAGATCGTGAAAGGCATATCACGTGTACAGAGCAACGATCTAACGACGCTTTCGTAACGGCTTGAAAAGCGCCCTAGACGCTTAAAGAGCGATTATAATACTTTGGGATTAAACGGAGGTCGTGATTCGTGAAGATCGTGAAAGGCATATCACATATATATATATATATATATATACACTCTGTGACGTACAACGGCATAAATCATAAGAGCGATTAGCCTAGACGTGACTATAACGAATATAAAAACAAATAAAAATTAATATATTTAACGAACGTAAAATGAGGAGAAAAAATAGTAATACATTTTTTTAATTACCAAACAAAGATTAATTTACGATTCCACGTAGCCTCTGGAATCCCGTGTACACATATATATATGTATAGCGTGTAATTTGTTTTATAGGTTAAAAATAAAGGACGGCCCGATGTTTCCTGCAGGAAATGAGAGGTGGCGCTGCGCGCTAACACGGTCGTCAAAAAGTTAATAGTGACCCCAGGGCAGATGTGCAGTGATACCAAGAGCGCAGTATAGGAACAGAAGCAGAGACGGCGGGTACGAAGATACGGTAGGAGTAAGCACTAAGAGGATATAGGTAGGAACAAGGTGGTGCGCAAGGCCCGTGAAAAGAAGGGCCCAACCCCCATGCATCAAGACCGTAACTTCATGGTAAAGGGTCAGCAAACTCCATGCGTGTGAGCCAATGGTAATAACGTGGCTGGTCCCCATACGCGCGACACATCCACGCCGTGGGAAAACTACAGTCAGCCCTGTGCACGGGCAAAAGCATTATGGGTCCCCGTGGCCACGCGATCTACACGAGGGGTTGTAGATGGTACGCATATGGCGATATATGCGTGACCGGTTACTTAATTGCGAGTATGGGGGTGCCATGGGTATATGCTACCCCTGGTATGACTCCCATATAACTCGTACGCGACCTACCCCCCATATACTCTGCTCGGTTCACACGTTATATCCGCTTTGTAATAAAACCTGATGGAAAGGAACGACAGGGTTATGGGAGTCGATTTATGGATTGATTCTCATATTGAAAACGGACTGATACCGTTGACAGATTTTCTATGGTGACTGTACGGGACATAAGTAGTGCGATTTTCGCAGGCGATCTGGGTCCATTGGGTAGGACGACTTGGTTAAGTGGATTGAATAGTCAAGATTTACAGTGATATTTTAATTAATAGAAAATCACCGGTCGAGCCGATTCTATGGAGAATCAAAGCGAGATCCGATCGAGAATTATGTAGATCGTATGTACGTTCTATGTTAATGCGTTGGTTTTAACATTGATTTTTTTTTCTCCTTTATGTCGAGCAAAACTGGCCTTTTCGATCTCTTACGTCACATCCTGCCGAGATTTTAAATGCTCCAGCTTCGTTTTTTCTTTTTTTTTTTTTCACCGATGCTTTTACGGCCACGACCAGCTCCTCGTTAACAGGATGTTTTTTAATTGGGCAACAGATTAACGAGACGATCGCGTAGGCCACGACAAGTCGTATGAAATCGGCCGATCTTATGGCTATTAGCTATGTATTGTACAGGCGTAGATTAATGCCGGCTCGATATTTATTTCATTATGAAAATCCCGCTATATATATGTACGTCTTAAAATATTGAGTACAAAAGGTCAGGGCTGGTGGATCGCTGTGAAATAGGCGTGGCCGATCCATCCGGTACGATCTACGAATTTCTATTGGATCACGGACACTCCTTCGAATGGATCGATCGATCGTTGAATACGAGTGGGCTCGAGCGATCGGTTCTGATCTCGGGAATGTAACTAATGAAATATCAGACTCGATCGAATGGATCGTTGATCCATTAAGATCGAGCGAGGCACATCGGTGAACAAAAAAAAAATGTTCGTACCAACATAATACCGTAAACGCATCGAGTTCCGAGTATTGAAGATTTCCACTGGGCAATTGTAGGTGGCGCATTAATTTAATGAAATATGAATCTACCTGCTCCTTGTATATACGTATATACAATATTGTAAATGCATATCGATCGTTCGCCAGTGGTGGCAGCACTCAGTAAGATTGGTACTGGTGAAAAGAAAAAAAAATATCAATAATTCAAGTACCCTGTTCGTGCTCTTTGCCAGCGTGACGAAGTAATTAAAAAAAAAAAATTTTAGTTTTCATGGTTTCCAAAGATAAAAAATACCTCAAGATCGTCAGACTTTACATAATTATCCAATTATATCAGCACCCAACGATAAAACGTACTGGGTTACGCGTGCGCGTAACCGCACGTTAGTCAACCTAGAACTAATGGGCTATCGTGCTCCGACGCCTACGCGTCTCCTACCCACACGACGCCGACGTCCACGGACCCCACTTAATCCACCATATTAAACGTTCAATTCCGTGTTTCGTGCGAGTCGAAGAACCCGAGCGATACGTGTCCGACTTTGGATATAAACAGTAGACGAAAATGGGAAGCGAGGCCAAAAATGGCGTACGAAGAAAGATACAAAGTCCCGTGAGCACTTGCGAGCGAATGGCAGGGCCGACCAGACGTCACTCAGTGCCCCGAGACATACGTGTAACAGTCAGACATGGCAGGAGCGATTAACGTGCAATTTGGCGGTATGAACGTGAGAGCCGAAAGTGGCCGACCGATGCCGAAGTCAGCCGAGGGTAAGGTTGGCGAAATGTGATGGGCGCGGTTCGCAGTAAACGTATAAAATAAGACAGGACCGTCGAGCCACGCGAGAGCTCAAGGAAGCCGGTATAAGTATTCCAGGTAAAGACAGGCTCTTTTTTTTTATCTTTATACCCGAAGAGTCACGCAATCGGCAATACGTATACAAGCAAGTGCTGCCAACCCAAAGAGGAAGATGCTAATCGCACGATGCAATTTAGCCGTAACCACTGCTCTGCTTGCGTTAAAGGGGTGCAGGTATACGCCGCTGTATTTTCACGTTGTATTCGTATATACACGCATCCACCAGGTATATCTATAGGCGTCAATAAGTGCAGCGAGTGCATCGAGCCCAATGTATCCCCAAGGTCTATCGTACTACTGCGCGTGATATCAGGTTGAAATGATATGGGAAGAGAGGGTAAAAAGTGATATGGGAAAAAGGGAAGAATCGTGATGCACCGGCGTTAAGTTTTCTTGCGAAACTATTGCACCAGTGAGAACAGACAGACGGACGTAGCTGGATGATATTCAGGTGTCTAAAATAAGATCATAATTACAGCGGGGGGTCGTAGGAAATGACGATCTTCTTGAATGAGATACTCCGTGCGCCTTCGGTAAATTGCCGGACGGCGTAAATTGTCCATGACGTCCAAGAGAGAGAGAGAGAGCTTCCTGGACGGCATTACAGCCCGTCTTATTCATCCAGGTACCAGATTGCTCGTCTTTAAGATTAAATAAAAAAAAAAAATAATAACAACAATAACCTCGTTGCGCAACCAGCGAGTAAAAAATTGTACCCAGCGACGAATTTCATTTCACGTAAATGCGATCTGTTATGCTCAATATTTTTAAGGCTCTCGACGAAGGTTGAAAATAAAAAAAAATAAAAATTTTTATTTCCCTAGGGGAGCCGCCTACCGGAGTACGAATAGATAATTTTGGCCATAGGCAAGAAAGTGCGCGATCGTACCGTGTAAGGTCGTCGATTTCGTATTCATATCGTCTCGAATTAGCCCGGTCTGCCTGGGGCCCAGATTCGAGACCGGGCGATGTATGCAAATTGAACGTGTCGTGCATAGAGGGAGCTGGGACCTGATGCGGTATGATTTCATTCCACCTCCGAGTACCTACTACGGGCGAGAGAGGATCAAAGGGAGACGCTTATTACGAGTCACGGGTCACGTTGCAGCGTGCCGAGGATAGCGGAGATACCGATAGATAGCAGAGACAGATGTATGAGAAGTATGTGGAGCAGAAAAAAAAAAGAAATGGCGTGGAGAGG